AGCAAACAGGTGTATTTTGAGGCGCCTCAAAAGTCACCTCATACCACACATCTAACCGTACAATCAAACACATGACAGCAAACAGGTGTATTTTGAGGCGCCTCAAAAGTCACCTCATACCACACATCTAACCGTACAATCAAACACATGACAGCAAACAGGTGTATTTTGAGGCGCCTCAAAAGTCACCTCATACCACACATCAAACCGTACAATCAAACACATGACAGCAAACAGGTGTATTTTGAGGCGCCTCAAAAGTCACCTCATACCACACATCTAACCGTACAATCAAACACATGACAGCAAACAGGTGTATTTTGAGGCGCCTCAAAAGTCACCTCATACCACACATCTAACCGTACAATCAAACACATGACAGCAAACAGGTGTATTTTGAGGCGCCTCAAAAGTCACCTCATACCACACATCTAACCGTACAATCAAACACATGACAGCAAACAGGTGTATTTTGAGGTGCCTCAAAAGTCACCTCATACCACACATCTAACCGTACAATCAAACACATGACAGCAAACAGGTGTATTTTGAGGCGCCTCAAAAGTCACCTCATACCACACATCTAACCGTACAATCAAACACATGACAGCAAACAGGTGTATTTTGAGGCGCCTCAAAAGTCACCTCATACCACACATCAAACCGTACAATCAAACACATGACAGCAAACAGGTGTATTTTGAGGCGCCTCAAAAGTCACCTCATACCACACATCAAACCGTACAATCAAACACATGACAGCAAACAGGTGTATTTTGAGGCGCCTCAAAAGTCACCTCATACCACACATCTAACCGTACAATCAAACACATGACAGCAAACAGGTGTATTTTGAGGCGCCTCAAAAGTCACCTCATACCACACATCTAACCGTACAATCAAACACATGACAGCAAACAGGTGTATTTTGAGGCGCCTCAAAAGTCACCTCATACCACACATCTAACCGTACAATCAAACACATGACAGCAAACAGGTGTATTTTGAGGCGCCTCAAAAGTCACCTCATACCACACATCTAACCGTACAATCAAACACATGACAGCAAACAGGTGTATTTTGAGGCGCCTCAAAAGTCACCTCATACCACACATCTAACCGTACAATCAAACACATGACAGCAAACAGGTGTATTTTGAGGCGCCTCAAAAGTCACCTCATACCACACATCTAACCGTACAATCAAACACATGACAGCAAACAGGTGTATTTTGAGGCGCCTCAAAAGTCACCTCATACCACACATCTAACCGTACAATCAAACACATGACAGCAAACAGGTGTATTTTGAGGCGCCTCAAAAGTCACCTCATACCACACATCTAACCGTACAATCAAACACATGACAGCAAACAGGTGTATTTTGAGGCGCCTCAAAAGTCACCTCATACCACACATCTAACCGTACAATCAAACACATGACAGCAAACAGGTGTATTTTGAGGCGCCTCAAAAGTCACCTCATACCACACATCTAACCGTACAATCAAACACATGACAGCAAACAGGTGTATTTTGAGGCGCCTCAAAAGTCACCTCATACCACACATCTAACCGTACAATCAAACACATGACAGCAAACAGGTGTATTTTGAGGTGCCTCAAAAGTCACCTCATACCACACATCTAACCGTACAATCAAACACATGACAGCAAACAGGTGTATTTTGAGGCGCCTCAAAAGTCACCTCATACCACACATCAAACCGTACAATCAAACACATGACAGCAAACAGGTGTATTTTGAGGCGCCTCAAAAGTCACCTCATACCACACATCTAACCGTACAATCAAACACATGACAGCAAACAGGTGTATTTTGAGGCGCCTCAAAAGTCACCTCATACCACACATCTAACCGTACAATCAAACACATGACAGCAAACAGGTGTATTTTGAGGCGCCTCAAAAGTCACCTCATACCACACATCTAACCGTACAATCAAACACATGACAGCAAACAGGTGTATTTTGAGGCGCCTCAAAAGTCACCTCATACCACACATCTAACCGTACAATCAAACACATGACAGCAAACAGGTGTATTTTGAGGCGCCTCAAAAGTCACCTCATACCACACATCTAACCGTACAATCAAACACATGACAGCAAACAGGTGTATTTTGAGGCGCCTCAAAAGTCACCTCATACCACACATCTAACCGTACAATCAAACACATGACAGCAAACAGGTGTATTTTGAGGCGCCTCAAAAGTCACCTCATACCACACATCTAACCGTACAATCAAACACATGACAGCAAACAGGTGTATTTTGAGGCGCCTCAAAAGTCACCTCATACCACACATCTAACCGTACAATCAAACACATGACAGCAAACAGGTGTATTTTGAGGCGCCTCAAAAGTCACCTCATACCACACATCAAACCGTACAATCAAACACATGACAGCAAACAGGTGTATTTTGAGGCGCCTCAAAAGTCACCTCATACCACACATCTAACCGTACAATCAAACACATGACAGCAAACAGGTGTATTTTGAGGCGCCTCAAAAGTCACCTCATACCACACATCTAACCGTACAATCAAACACATGACAGCAAACAGGTGTATTTTGAGGCGCCTCAAAAGTCACCTCATACCACACATCTAACCGTACAATCAAACACATGACAGCAAACAGGTGTATTTTGAGGCGCCTCAAAAGTCACCTCATACCACACATCTAACCGTACAATCAAACACATGACAGCAAACAGGTGTATTTTGAGGCGCCTCAAAAGTCACCTCATACCACACATCTAACCGTACAATCAAACACATGACAGCAAACAGGTGTATTTTGAGGCGCCTCAAAAGTCACCTCATACCACACATCTAACCGTACAATCAAACACATGACAGCAAACAGGTGTATTTTGAGGCGCCTCAAAAGTCACCTCATACCACACATCTAACCGTACAATCAAACACATGACAGCAAACAGGTGTATTTTGAGGCGCCTCAAAAGTCACCTCATACCACACATCTAACCGTACAATCAAACACATGACAGCAAACAGGTGTATTTTGAGGCGCCTCAAAAGTCACCTCATACCACACATCTAACCGTACAATCAAACACATGACAGCAAACAGGTGTATTTTGAGGCGCCTCAAAAGTCACCTCATACCACACATCTAACCGTACAATCAAACACATGACAGAAAACAGGTGTATTTTGAGGCGCCTCAAAAGTCACCTCATATCACACATCTAACCGTACAATCAAACACATGACAGCAAACAGGTGTATTTTGAGGCGCCTCAAAAGTCACCTCATACCACACATCTAACCGTACAATCAAACACATGACAGCAAACAGGTGTATTTTGAGGCGCCTCAAAAGTCACCTCATACCACACATCTAACCGTACAATCAAACACATGACAGCAAACAGGTGTATTTTGAGGCGCCTCAAAAGTCACCTCATACCACACATCTAACCGTACAATCAAACACATGACAGCAAACAGGTGTATTTTGAGGCGCCTCAAAAGTCACCTCATACCACACATCTAACCGTACAATCAAACACATGACAGCAAACAGGTGTATTTTGAGGCGCCTCAAAAGTCACCTCATACCACACATCTAACCGTACAATCAAACACATGACAGCAAACAGGTGTATTTTGAGGCGCCTCAAAAGTCACCTCATACCACACATCTAACCGTACAATCAAACACATGACAGCAAACAGGTGTATTTTGAGGCGCCTCAAAAGTCACCTCATACCACACATCTAACCGTACAATCAAACACATGACAGCAAACAGGTGTATTTTGAGGCGCCTCAAAAGTCACCTCATACCACACATCTAACCGTACAATCAAACACATGACAGCAAACAGGTGTATTTTGAGGCACCTCAAAAGTCACCTCATACCACACCTCTAACCGTACAATCAAACACATGACAGAAAACAGGTGTATTTTGAGGCGCCTCAAAAGTCACCTCATACCACACATCTAACCGTACAATCAAACACATGACAGCAAACAGGTGTATTTTGAGGCGCCTCAAAAGTCACCTCATACCACACATCTAACCGTACAATCAAACACATGACAGCAAACAGGTGTATTTTGAGGCGCCTCAAAAGTCACCTCATACTACACATCTAACCGTACAATCAAACACATGACAGCAAACAGGTGTATTTTGAGGCGCCTCAAAAGTCACCTCATACCACACATCAAACCGTACAATCAAACACATGACAGCAAACAGGTGTATTTTGAGGCGCCTCAAAAGTCACCTCATACCACACATCTAACCGTACAATCAAACACATGACAGCAAACAGGTGTATTTTGAGGCGCCTCAAAAGTCACCTCATACCACACATCTAACCGTACAATCAAACACATGACAGCAAACAGGTGTATTTTGAGGCGCCTCAAAAGTCACCTCATACCACACATCTAACCGTACAATCAAACACATGACAGCAAACAGGTGTATTTTGAGGCGCCTCAAAAGTCACCTCATACCACACATCTAACCGTACAATCAAACACATGACAGCAAACAGGTGTATTTTGAGGCGCCTCAAAAGTCACCTCATACCACACATCTAACCGTACAATCAAACACATGACAGCAAACAGGTGTATTTTGAGGCACCTCAAAAGTCACCTCATACCACACCTCTAACCGTACAATCAAACACATGACAGAAAACAGGTGTATTTTGAGGCGCCTCAAAAGTCACCTCATACCACACATCTAACCGTACAATCAAACACATGACAGCAAACCAGCACAAGCAAACATCACACCATGACCCACCTGACAGCTGGCGACTGCTTGGAAGAGGCACATCAGAAAACACCTGACCAATCTGAGCATGAGCATACATCGCACCATAACCCACCTGACAGGCATGAACACATACCACACACCACACCAGCACAAACATGAGCACGCATTACACCATGAACCCACCTGACAGCTGGAGACTGCTTAGATGAAGCAGGTGAAGGGGAGCCAACCGAGAAATCCCCACCCAAACTCCTCTCCAACCGCTCTCCACCGTACCCTCTCCTCCTCTCCTCCTCCCCTCCTCTCCTCCTCTCTTCCTCGCCACCTTTCCTCCTCTCCGTCTCCCTTCCACATCCCTCAGCCTCACCCACACCCCCGCCAAACTGGGTGATAAACTCTATCCCGCCCTCCTTCTCCCCATCCCCTCTGCCCCTATCCCTCTCCCTACCCCTCTCCTGCTCCCTTTCCCTATCCCTATCCCTATCCCTGTCTCTGTCTAAATCCCTGTCCCTATCCCTGCCTCTGTCTGAATCCCTGTCCCACCTGTCCCCTTCCCTTCTCCTCTCCCTATCCCTATCCCAACCTCTTTCTCTCTCCCTATCCCTCCCCCTGTCATCTTGCCCCCTCTGCCCCTCTGTGTGCCCCCCTACCCGCACCAACCCCTGCTGCTTCCACCCCTCCCCCTTCCCCTGCTCCCCCTTCCCCTGCTGCTTCTTCCCCTGGCCTCCCCCTTCCTTCCCCTGCCGAGCAAGCTTTTTCCTCTCCTTGCGTGAAGGGCGCTGGTAAGGAGGGGAAGAAATTTCATAACACAGGGCATGGGAGAGTTAATGGGAGAGAATGAATGAGAAAGTGATAGGGAGAGTGACATCAATGCATGAGGCATATCAAGTTTAGATACATACGTCAAAATAAGACACAGACGCTCAAATGAATTGTTGAAATTCGCTCACCGAATCATTGCCCGCCATCTGTCGCAGCCTCTTCTCTTTCTCCTTAGCAGATACTGCCAAATCCATGTGCCGCCCGTATTCCTCTATGCCATACCGCTCCGCCATATCTGCCAAACGCTGCCGCCCACTAGGAGACATCCACCCGTATTCCTCCACGTCTCCCCCCTCCACCCCATCCCCCTCCTCTTCCTCCTCGTCCTCCTCATCCTCCTCTTCCTCGTCCTCGTTACAGTCACCTGCGTTATTGTCACTGCTTCCATAAGAGAACGGCATGTTAGCATAAGCACCCTTGCCTGCTGCTGCGGTTGCTGCGGATGCTGCTGCTGCAGCAGGCAGTTTTGGCCTGGGGAAAAGAACGAGGAGGGGAGTCAGATGGGTGATATGCAGCAACGGAAAGATGGGTAAAAGGAGGGACGCATAACCCTTGCCTGCTGCTGGTGCTGCTGCGGATCCTGCTGCAACAGCAGGCAGTTTTGGCCTGGGGAAAGCAAAACAGGCAAGGGAAAAACGACCAGAAGAAGAGCAGCAGAAGGAAAGGAGGATGAAGGGAGAAAGAAGAGGAGAGTCCGAAGGAAGAAGGGTGAAGAGGAGAGTCCGATGGTCGATAGGCACCAATGGAAGAAGGGTGCGAAAGCGGGTGCTACCTGTGAAAGATTTATTTTGAGACGTCTCAAAATAAATCTTCATACACGTGGCTATTTTGAGACGTCTCAAAATAAGTCCGATGGTCGATAGGCACCAATGGAAGAAGGGTGCGAAAGCGGGTGCTACCTGTGAAAAAGCAAGTGCTGCTAGCTACCTGTGGGGGCTGGTGCCACTGCCATCTGTGAGAGCAGGTGTCACCTGTTTTAACCACACACACACGGTGCTACCTGTTGGCCTTGAGCTGAGCGTGGGCTCTTTCCTCCATCTCTCGCTCCACCTGCTGCAATCCCTCCTCCTGTATACCCTCCTCTTGCTTCCTGACTGTGACGTTACTGCCTGCCCCCTTCAAAAAGCACACACACACGGTGCTACCTGTTGGCTTTGAGCTGAGCGTGGGCTCGCGCCTCCATCCCTCACTCCATCTCTCACTGCTCCATCTCTTCCTGTATACCCTCCTCTCGCTCCCTGACTGTGTCGTGATTGCCTTCTCCCTTTGAAACCACACACACAGAGTGAGTACCTGTTAGCCTTGAGCTGAGCGTGGGCTCTCGCCTCCGTCTCTCGCTCCACCTGCTGCAACCCCTCCTGCTCCGTCTCTGCCATAGTAGATAAATGCCATGGACAGAAGTGAGTTTCGGAGGCGGGACAGAAACGAGTGAAGAGTGTTCTGTTGTGGGTGCAGGGTGCGGTGGAAACACCAGAGCATACATCACAGCCGGTGTGCTTTACTTGTGATGTAGCATTGTGTGACAGGTGAGAAGTTCTGAATTGAAATGCGTTGCGTGCATCATCTTCCTCCTGCTCCTCTTCCTCCGTCCCTGCCTCTGTTCCTTTCAACCTCTGCTTCCTTCTCCTCCTCCTCTATCATTAATCAACACGTAAGTAAGACCCAAGTATTATCAACTATCAGCCCAGCCGCACAAGGTCTCGGTACCGCTCAAAGTTACACGCCTCCTCCTCCTCCACTCTCTTGTTAAATACACGGAACACAAAACCCTAGCGACACAACAACACAGGTAAGGCTACTCACTCGCATGCCAGCCCAGCCGCACAAGGTCTCGGTACCGCTCAAAGTTACACGAATCCTTCTCCTCCTCTTGCTGCTCCTCTCTCTCACTCAATATGCAGAAAAGGCTACTCACTTGCATGCCAGCCCAATCGCACAAGGTCTCGATACCGCTCAAAGTTACACGCCTCCTCCTCCTCCTCCTGCTGCTCTCTCTTGCTCAATGAACGGGAAAGGCCACTCACTCGCATGCCAGCCCAGCCGCACAAGGTCTCGGTACCGCTCAAAGTTACACAAATCCTCCTCCTCCTCTTGCTGCTCCTCTCTCTCACTCAATATGCAGAAAAGGCTACTCACTTGCATGCCAGCCCAGCCGCACAAGGTCTCGATACCGCTCAAAGTTACACGCCTCCTCCTCCTCCTCTTGCTGCTCTGTGAGCTCCCTCGACCCGTGCCTGTGCGGATCATACTCTCGAATGAAATCCAGCATAGCCCGCCCGTCATATCTGTGTTGTCACAGGTGGGGGTATGCGCACGGACAAGGGGGATAGACGGGTAACAGGATGGTGCTGGCTTTTGAGTCGACCCAAAAGTCAACTCGCAGGTGGGGGTATGCACACGGACAGGGGGTATAGACGGGTAACAGGTTGGTGCTGGGCGGCTCTGTCAGCTCCCTCGCCCCGTGCCTGTGCGGATCATATTCCCGGATAAAATCCAGCATCGCACGCCCGTCGTACCTGTGTTGTCACAGGTGGGGGTTATGAAAAGAGGGAGATGGGGGAAAGATGGGTAGCGGTCTGAGAGTGGGCATGGCTCAGCTCCCTTGCCCCATGCCTGTACGAATTCTAATCCCGAATGAAATCCAGCATGGCTTGCGCGTCGCACCTGCGCCAGAGAGTGGTCAATGGTGGTGGAAATGGGTAGGGGTGGGTGGGAGATGCACTTCAGATACATAAGTGTCACGAAATAGGCACACCAGGCATGGAAGGAACGCACATGGGGAACACCAATTATACCTAACTGCCATGGACCGCGCTTATGAAGGAATGCCACTTTCTTGAAGTTGAAAGCCATAATTGTCAGGTGCCACAGAAAGCCATTATTGACAGGTGTGTGAAGTTGACAATGACCAGCAGCAGCTGGAACACGTTGTAAACAACACACCTTCTAAATTGTCCCATTACACTTTATACCTGTCTATGAGCGTGTCCTGATTGATCTTTTATTTTTGCTAAACTGGATTACGACGCTCGCCCACTTACCTGTCTATGAGCGTGTCTTCTCTGTTGTTCCATGGAATGCTGTAGCGGCCGTCGAGCGGGGTGGAAAGGGATGCGCCGCAGCAGACGAGAGAAAGGAGCGGGGAGTACGGGACGCGGAGCACAGCGGAAGGAGCGAGGCACAGCCAGAAGCAGCAAAGCGCGAAACAGAGGAAAGCGAGGTGAAGAGGAGAGAAAAGGGAGGGAAGGCAGCAGGAGGGCAAGAAAAAAGGAGGGGCATTAGCATAGCGGAACACGAGACGGAAATAGCGCGGGCAGATTCTAGCACGACACTGAAAGAAATGAACAAAAAGGGTCAATACTAAAACATAATTTGTTACTGAATGTAAACATAACATCCGCCAACTCAAATGGCGTCATTGCTGATCACAGATTCACAGGTGATGCATAGAATGGCCAACGGAAATGGGGGTTACATGAGAAAACGAGCGCAGGAGGCAGGGGGACGAGGGAGAATCGGAAAGGCGATTTGAGGGGGAAGGGGGGAGGGGCGAAGGAGGGTGACGGCGGGAGGGGGAGGATGGGAAGAGGAGAAGTGGAGAGGGAGAGAAAGAGGGGAATAGGGAAGGGGAGTGAACAAGGGGGGATGCACCGGAAGGCAATAGGGCACGGCACGGTGAAGGCGGCGATAAAAACACTAGAGGGATACAGGGGTCGCAGACAGGCTTTTGAGCCCGTGGAGGCAAGTCAGGGGTGTGCCTATCAGGCAAGGAGAGGGGTCACAAAAAGGCCTCCTCTCCGTGATTCCGAAGTAAGGATGGAGGGATAAGAGGGCACAGACAGGCCGGAGAGGTCCTGCGCGGACTGGTAGACGGCGGAGTCGTGCGCCAGGCGGAGCTTGGTGCCCGCCACGCGCAGCAGCTGCGTCGGGTCCCCCGCGCGCCGAGACCGCTGATCCGCGCGCCGCTCGGCGCGCTTCTTCGCCGCGTCCATCATCTCGTGCACGCGCTTCTCCGACCGCCGCGCCTCGTGCCACATGATGGCGCCGCGCGCTCCGATGCTCCTAAGCTCGTTTTCTAGACTGCCTGAAACACTCTAATGTTCCTACTACGCTCGTTTTCCAGACAAGGAAACGTGATATTTGACCAGCACTATTGAAATTCGCACACCTGTCGATAATAGACGGACAGCGAGTCGACCCTGTGTTTTGCTGGAATAAACAGAGGTAGCATATTACTGTTCCCTTTTTTGTGTGTTATGTCCGATCGGATTGTGTCTGTCGAACCAACCGCGAGGGTCGTTTCAAACACTTCGATCAAACTGGTTCATATTCCGAGCATTTCCTCGCGACGCACTTTTTTCGCGACGGCGAATCCTGGCTCTTCGCTAGCGAAGAGACGAGACGACAACAACCCATAGGCCTGACGAACGAAGCTGTGTGTTTCCCCGCGATGTATAAATGTGCAGCAACCAGAGTTACAGGCGACAAACTATCAGAGCTCGTTTTGTTCGGTCAAATTCTGACAGTTGGGTGGAAGTGCTCACCTCGGGAATCCCCCAGGGCTGACGATCAGGGGGAAGCATTCACCAGAATGGAAAATGGTAATCGCTTGGCACCAGGCTCAACCACTCCGTGTACTTATTATAGAGTTTGTAAACGCAACGCACCTGATTAAGCCGCACTCCTGGACACTGATCATCACACTCGTCTCATAGTCCCCCAGGAAACCCAGTCCACATCACAGGACAGCTAGACACTAGCTAAATAAGAGATACCTAGTTAATTAATTAGACTAAAATAGGAGCTCGAGGCATCAATCCCTCTGAGATAGTCTTCAGATATCCATCATTTTATCCGTACTCGCGTAGTTAACTTGAGATTTCGCATCACCAGCCCGCCAAGATCAGCGAGGGTCCAGGCATACACGATAAATAGAACGGATTAGACGAATTCGACGAATGCAACGAGTTTAACGCATTCATGAACTTTTACGTCGCCTCGCGTAGGTCAGCTCGCCGTTGGCTATGGCTAGTCCTACCCCATACGTCACGGCCATTTGTCGATCGAATATGTTTAACATCTCAAACGCACCGAATAGCATCGCGATCTTCTGTTCCTCTCTCGTCAAGCCACGATCAGATCGGATCGAATCCAAACGAACCTGCGCGAACCGCGTCTTTTCAAATCCGAAACCCAGGCCGAAGCTTAGAGACACCTCATGAGACCTTTTCATCCCAAGTCCGAAGCTTCGTCGCATGGTCTGCTGCTGGTGCGTCTTCCAGGCCAGCAGACGCAGAAGCTTCCGAGGCGGAGACTGCTATCTCTGGGTCGAAATCACTTCCCAGAAGCAAGCCTTTAATAGCTGTGCAAGCGGACTTAAAAACGCGTACAGTGCAGGACGAGGAGAGGGAGGATGGGGGAGGAGGTCGGAGGAGCATCAGGAAAGTGGAAGGGGAAGAAAAGGGAGGTGGGGATGAGAGGGTAGTAGCGGGGAATGCAGCGGGGAAGAGTAAGGGAGGCAAGAGGAAGAGCAACAGGACGGGGGCCTGCAAGGAGGAGGAGGAGGCAGTGGCAGTGATTGCTGGAGTGCTGAGGGAGAAATTCGGGCCTCAGATCGTGAGAGAGGTAGAGGAGTTGGGGAGTGGGATAAGAAGCAGCGAGAACGACGAGAGAGTGGTGAAAGTGAAAGAGGAGAAGGAGGGGGGAGAGGGGAACGATGATGAGGCGGAGGAAGAGGAGGGTGAGGAGGACGCACCACCCACCACATCTCCTCCCACGCACCCTCCTCAGCTGTACAACCGGCGGGTCGTATCTCCCTCCTCCCTCCTCTCCCTCTACCGCTTCTTCTCCTCCCACCTCGGCATCTCCTCCCCTTCCACTGTCGCTTCCCTCCTCGTCACTTTCCCGCAACTCCTCCGCTCCAGTCCCACCAATGACTTCCTGCCACGTGTCCATCTCCTCCAATCATATGGCATATCTCATGCCGATATCGTCCACATCACTGTGAAAGAACCAGCCTGGCTCCGAGTCTCCCTTGCACAGATTCAAAACACCCTTGAGTTTCTCTTAGCTCAAGGCGTCCGCCGAAACAGATTGGGTTTGATCCTCCGACGTGCACGGCGCTTACTCTGGTGTGAGGCACGTTCAACGAACCTGGACATTTTGGTGGAAAAAGCAGGGGTTCCTGTGGACAAGCTGGGTGGGATTATAGAGAGATGTCCGGTCATCTTGATTCGGGGCAAAGAGGCACTGAATTCGCAGCTCGAAGCATTATCCGCCTATTTTAAGGCGGGGTGTGGAACGAAGGTAGAAGCAGTTAGCACCAGTACAGGCCTCCTGAAGCAGCGACAAGACGAGCAGGATTTGGACACAAGCCACCTAAGCAGGCTTATCGTTAAGTATCCAGTCATCTCCTCTCGTCATCCCCATCACATTGCAGAGAGTATTGCCATTCTCCAGTCCTTCACTCCCCCAGGCACCCCCTCCATTGCGAGCTCTGTGCTTCGTCGTGCCCCCAGCATCTTCAGTTTAAGCAAAGAATATCTCTTAGCTAAGCTCCAGTTCTTTGTGGAGCTGGTGGGGGAGGAGGCAGCAGGGAGAATGGTGAGGAGCCGCCCGAACGTTCTGCAACTATCGAAGGAGAACGTGCAAGGCAAGGTGGCGACATTGGCTGATTTGATTGGCCAAGAGAATTCCATGCGGTTGGTGGCTCGATCTCCTCTGCTAGTAACGGCTAGTGAAGATGGCATGAAGGATACTTTCAGAGAGCTTGTGCGAGAAGTAGAAGAGGCATTGGAGAGAAGTGGAGACGTGGGAAATGAGACGCAATTGCTGGGTAAAGGTGACAGTGCGGTTTGCTTGGAAGGGGGAATTAATTCCCGAGCGCTAAGCTCAGCACTAAGTGGCAAGAGATTCAGGGCTCGTCAGCTGGTGGTTGATTTGGTTATGAAGTTTCCACCGTGTATTACCCACAGCTGGAAAACGAACCTGAAGCCCAAGGTGGAGTACTTAAAACGGGACATGGGGCTCTCTATAATGGAGGTGCTGGCCTACCCTTTCTTTCTTAGTTTAAGTTTGGATCAGCGAATCAGACCTCGGCATGTGGCACTGGTGCGAATGGGCTATGAGGTTGTGGCACACAAGGTGGTTATTCGAACGAGTGCTGGGAAGCAGAGAGCCAAGCTGGGTTCTGTTTGCTCCTCTCTTTCTGACGAAGTGGGGGGGGCGGAGGGGATTGATTGGGGAGCGGAAGAAAGGAAGAGTGTAAGGAGGGGTGACAGGCAACAGCAGCAAGGCGAAGGGGAGGATTCTGGCAGTGGACTGCTGCTTGAGGAATTCCCAGACAATCGAGAACCAGGGGTCGGAGCTGCTACAAAGCAGCAGCTTGTGAATTTGGAGGCAAAAAGGAAATTGGTGTGCTTGCAGCAGTTTCTCCAATGCTCAGACAAGAAGTTTGAAGAGAAGTTGCTGATATATGCTTCGGTGGCTTCCAATGTGCCCTGGGCTTCAGAGTCCATGCCTGAGTGTGAGTGTGTGCTCCAATGCCTGATGTCTGTGTGTGTCTAACCACATTAGCCAATTGTGGCCAGGGCGGTGGGGGATCCTGTGCTATGGGCTCTGCATTTCACTCTAGTTTCGATTAAACCAGGTGCTGGAGAGGAGACGGCAGGGGGGATAGCAGAACTAGCATCAGCAGCAGGAGCAGCAGCAGGAGGCGGAGGGAATAGTGTGAGTGCTACAGCCTTTTTGCTGGGTGCTCTGTTGCTGCTTGATGGGACCGGAGGGGATGTGGCTGCTACAGCTGCCTCTCCTACAGCTGTCTCTGCTACAGCTGCCTCTGCTACACCTGCTACAGCTGTTCCTGTGGGTGGCGGTGGCGCCGGCTGTAGCAGAGGAGTTGCTGTTCAGAGGGCTGCTGCTCACGGCCCTGCAAGAGAGGCTCGGCAGGTGAGAGGCTTGGCAGGAGGCTCGGTAGTGAGGTTTGGCACCACCTTCTTTTTGGGTTTAATAGGTTCCTCCACTGCCATAACCCACGCTCTCTTTCATCAATCCAATGTCACTCTTTCTTTCCTATCTTCACGCGCGTTATATTGTCTCTCCTGAATCCTTCCCCTCCTCTCCTCCCTGCACTATCCCCTTCCATGTCTCTCTCTCCCTCGGGATGGTCGCTGCCATGCCTTCTGCAGCGCTCTTCGCCCTCTTCCACCTCTCCCTCTCCCTCCTCTTCCCCAGCATGGCCCTTGGGATTGCCGCCGGCCTGCTTGCTGGTGCGAATGGGCTATGGCTGTGTTGGAGACAGGAAGGGTGTTTCGACAAGAAGTGGAGAAGAGAGGAGCCAGCTGGGTGTTCTGTGTCTGACAAAGTGGAGGGGGTAGGTGCGGAGCGGAAGAAGGAAAGAATGAAGGAACGGGTGACCGGCAAGAGCAGCAGTGCGAAGTCACTCTTATGCTTCTTATCTCCCCTTTTCTTCCCTGCAGGTCCGCCTTGTACCAGTTGGTGCTTGCACTGCGCTTGCAGATTCCCCAAGAACAGCCATGCAGCGCTCCTGTTTGAATGGCAGTGAGGAAAGAAGAGACAAGATTTGCCGTCTAGGAGCTGCTAACGCCGATGTCTGCCCGCTTTATTAGGCTGTTTCAGGTGCTGATGGCATGATGGCACGCGGGTATGGGGGTGTGATGGCAGAAATACGGTATGATAGCAGTGTGGATATGATGTAGTATGGGTGTTATGTCATGGGTGTGATGCCATGGTATGATGGCATGGGGGTAACGTAACATTCTTCCATGCCCACACTGAGTATGGCTTACTCTGTAGTTCCATCCTTCTCCCTTCTCCCTGATTATCCAACCTTTCTCCTTCCCTTTGTTATGTTCTCCTCCAGGCTGTATGGGACGATCACATTCACAGCGAGTCCAGCTGATCTGCTCGTCACTCCCCCATTGCACCACCCTTGTAGGCCTTTCACGTGCTGCTCTTGGAACACCGGCAACAACTTCTGAGAAGAGAAAACGTTCCATTATTCTTCCCCTTGTCATTCCTTGCTCGTTCTCCCCTCTTCTCTCTCAACTGTCACTGAAGATTGGTGCTGGGGGGGAGGCGGCAGCGGGAATGGCAGAAATTGTTGCAAGAGTAGCAGGAGGAGCAGGAGGAGGAGGAGCAGGGGATAGTGTGAGAGTGCTCCAGCCTTGTTGCTGGGTCATTTGTTGCTGCCTGATGGGACCGGAGGGGGTGTAGATGCTACAGCTGCCTCTGCTACAGCTGCTGCGGCCCTCACCCTGCTGGACCTGCTACAGCTGTTCCTGTGGGTGGCCATGTCGCTGGCTGTAGCAGAGGAGTTCTTGTTTGGAGGGTTGCTGCTGACGGCCCTGGAAGAAAGGCTCAGCAAGTGAGAGGCAGGGCTGGTGAGAGGCTCGGGAAATAAGGTTCGGCAAGGCTTTGCCTCCACCTACAGCCTTCTTTCTGGTTTTGGTAAGTTTGTCCGCTGCCTAAACACACACTCGTAGGGATCCAATTCCACTTGCTCTTTTTTCTTACCCTTGCCTCTGATGGTACGTCTCAGAATTGAGGGTAGATGTAATCTACATGAGCCATGGGAGTTAATTCAAGTCAGCAGTGCAAGTCTTGTTTAACTACCTCCTGTCTAACTGCTGTTTTCCCCTTCTCGCTTCTTTCCCTCAGGATCGAGGCTGCCATGCCGTCTGCAGCCCTTTTCGCTGCCTTCCACCTCCCCTAACCCTCCTCTTCCCCAACATGGCCCTTGGGATTGCCGCCGGCCTGCTCGCCGTCTACTCCAATAGCGTGCTGCCAGCTGTTGCCCTGCATACCACTTAATGCATCTGCCCTTCTTTATGTGCTCATGGCTACAGGTGCTGGTTCTATTTAGCAAGAAAATGCTCTATAACTTAGCTTCGTTTGTATCTCTGTACCAAAATTCATCCAATTATTGTGTGAGAAAAAAACAGGATGTTTAAATATTCAAATTCCTACTCTAGTAACCTTTCTCTCTTGATTGATCTGCTAGTCTGCTTTGCAGAGCATTTGGGTACTACTGAATTACTTCATGCAGACCTTATAACGGGGATGAAATACACAATCATAATTTCCCGTGTAACATTTTCGAGCACAAAACTACTTCCGTAACTTCGCGAAACTCCTCCTGTGCCGGAACTCCCGAGGTGCATCTCCCAAAGTGCAACTCCCGAGGTCGAAGCAAGCGTCCAAGTCGTGTAGCAGCAGATCTCGCTAGCCCGTCGCCATAGCAGTTGTCGCCAGTACGCCCATTCGAATCTCTGTGGAGCCATTCATCCATCTGCTGCTATTCTGCTCTGCTCCATTCTTCCAGTAGGAGCAACGCTTGACAGGCACGAACAAGTTGGTCGACCCTGTGATGTAGAGTCATCCACCACAAGGAAAATGAGTGATTCCTAGTATTTGCAGAAGATCAGTGTCTTAAATCGGCGAACCGCGCTGGAGCTCTCACGTTAGCCGCGAACTATTCTTCTAGATCGTATATATCCCTCGTTCCACTCCTGCTCGCCATGGCGTGCCTTGTTCCTTCGTCATCGCCGTTAGCCGCGTCGATTCGCAGCTTAGACTACACGCAATCCTTCTATATCCATCCTTGTAAGATTCTCGATACGATCCACGGGAAACCAACTAGAACTGCATATTCTTCACGGACAAGCCCGTACCAGCTCGGATTTCCCTCATTGAACCACCTTGCTCGGAAATCCTTCGTCAGGAGCGTCGCAATCAGATGCGACGCTAAAAAGGCTTCCGCGCAAGCAGACTCTCCAGAGCCGGAGGTCGCAAACTTCGGAGTGCAATCGAAAGACGGTAGCGAGTCGGCACTCGCCGTTGGGCCGGATGTTGAGACGCGTGGAGTGGGGGACGAGGAGGGGGAAGGGGTGCTGGGAGAAGTGAAGGAGATCGTCAGGACAGTTGGGGGAAAGCAGGGGGGGAGTAAGGCAGTTGGGGGTAAGAGACGTGTGAGGAGTGCAGGTGAAACGAAGAAAAGCATTGAAGGAAGCGGGAGTAAGAGTGCAGGGGGAAAAGGATGCGAGGAGGAGGAGGCGGCAGTGACAGTGATTGCTCAAGTGTTGATGGAGAAGTTCGGACCTCAGATAGTGAGAGAGGAGGTGGAGGAAGCAACTGAGGGGGAAGAGGAGGTGGAGGGAGAGGAAGAAGTGGCAGCGGGGGAGGAGGAGGATATAAGGGACACAGGAGCGAAGGAAGAGGACGCAGAAGCTGAAGCAAGTGAAAAGGGTTCACCAGGCACCACATCTCGCTCCGCACGTGCTACCACTCTCTCCTCCCTCCTCTCCCTCTACCGCTTCTTCTCCTCCCACCTCGGCATCTCCTCCCCTTCAACTGTCGCTTCCCTCCTCGCCTCTTACCCCCAACTCCTCCGCTCCAGTCCCACCAATGACTTCCTGCCACGTGTCCGTCTCCTCCAGTCCTTCGGCATATCTCATGCCGACATAGTGCACATCACTATGATAGGACCGGCCTGGCTCCGATCCTCCCTGCCACGGATTCAAAAATCTCTTGAGTTCCTGTTGGCTCAAGGCGTCCGTCGTAGCAGATTGGGCCCGGTGCTTCGACGTGGACTAGGCTTCCTCTGCAGGGATGCACGTTCAACGAACCTAGACATTCTGGTGGACAAGGCAGGCGTTCCTGTGGACAAGCTAGGTGGGATTATTGAGAAATGTCCACCGATCTTGATTCGGGACAAAGAGGCAGTGAATTCTCAGCTCGAGACGTTGTCAGCCTATTTTATGTCAGGACCTAGAAGGGAGGTAGAAGCGGATAGTTCCAACACAGACCATTTGCAGCAGCGAGTAGATGAGCCGCATCTGGACAGGAACCACCTAACCGAACTTATCCTGAAGTCTCCATCCATCCTCAGTTCTTCGTCCCACCGCATTGCTGAAAATGTCAACACCAGTCCTTTACTCCCCCAGGCTCGCCCTCCGTTGCAAGCTCTGTGCTCCGTCGTGCCCCCACAATCCTCACCCTTAAGTCAGAAAATCTCTTAGCTAAGCTCCAGTTCTTTGTGGAGCTGGTGGGGGAGGAGACGACAGGAAGATTGGCGAGGAGTCACTCGGGGGTTCTGAAATTATCGAAGGAAACCCTGCAAGGCAAGGTGGCGGTATTGGTTTATCTAATTGGTCGAGAGAATGCTGTGCGTGTGGTGGCACGCTTTCCTACAGTCCTAAATTCGAGTGAAGATAACATGAAGATCAGTTTTAAAGAGTTTGTGCGAGAAGTGGAAGAGGCACTGGATCAAAGTGGAAATGAGGGAAGTGGGACGCTAAGGTTGGGAGGAGGTGATTGTTTGGAAGAGGAGAATGAGTCTGGAGCACATGGCGACAAGAGATCCAGAGCTCGTCGTTTGGTGGTGGATTTTGTGGTGAAGTCCCCGCAGTCTATCCAAGTCAGTTGGGAAGGGAACCTGAAACACAAGGTGGAGTATTTAAAGCGGGACATGGGGCTGTCCATTGCAGAAGTGCTTGCCTTTCCAAACTTTGCTATCTACAGCTTGGATCGGCAAATCAGACCGCGGCATGTGGCATTGGTGCAGATGGGGTATGTGGTTGTGGCACATGAGGCGGTTAGACGGAGGAGCGTTGTTGAAGACAGGAGGGATGTTTCGATAGGAGCTGTGCAACGGAGGAGCAAGCTGGGTTCGGACAAAGTGGAGGGGGTTGAATGGGGATCGGAGGAAAGAAATAGCAAAAGAACGGGTGGCAAGCAAGAGCAGCAGTGCGAAGGGGAGGATTGTGGTAATGGACCGATGCTTGAAGAATTCTTAGGACATGACGAGCCATTGGGGGGGGCTGTTACAAATCAGCAGCTTGTGAATGTGGAGGCGGCAAGTAAAACGGTGTCCTTGTACCAGTTTCTTAAATGTACAGACAAGCAGTTTGAGGAGAAGTTTGGGGTGAAACTGTAGTGTTGCTACTGATTGGCTTCTTCGGCTTCCATTGTGCTGGAGGCCTCAAAGTCAATGCCTGAGTGTGAGGGTGTGTGCCAACGCCTGTTGGCTTTGTGTGTCTCTCCACATTAGCCCCTCTCTTCAGAAATCACCATTGCATCAACCATTGTGGGGGGCACGGGGATGGGGAGAAGGAAGCAATAGCTGGTGGAAGGCGATTGTGGCAGGGGCGGTGGGGGGTCCTGTTCTATGGGCTCTGCTTTTCACTCTAGTTTTTCTTGAAACAGGTGCTGGAGGGGAGGGGGAAGGGGTATTAGCAGAACTAGCGGCAGCGGCAGGAGCAGCAGGAGGAGACGGACGGGATAGCTGTGAGTGCTACACCCTTGTTGATAGGTCCTTTGTTGCTTTCTGATGGGACCAGAGGGGATGTGGGTTCTACAGCTGCCTCTGCTTCAGCTGTCTCTGCTACAGCCACTGCGGCCCTCCCTCTGCTGGACCTGCTACAGCTGTTCCTGTGGGTGGCGGTGTCGCCGGCTGTAGTAGAAAGGCTGCTGTTCAGTGGGCTGCTGATCACGGACCTGCAAAAGAGGCTCGGCAGGTGAGAGGCTCAGCAGGAGGCCTGTTAGTGACTAGTGAGGTTTGGCAAGCCTCCAATGCTACCACCTTAATAATGTCCTCCATTCCCATAGCATTAGCTCTCTCTCATCAATCCAATATCACTCTTCTTTCCCATCTTCACTCACATGATATCGTCCCTCCTGTATCCTTCCCCTCTTTTCTCCCTGCACTATCCCCTTACCTGCCTCTCTCCCCCCAGGATGGGCGCTGCCATGCTGTCTGCAGCCCTCTTCGCTCTCTTCTACCTCTCCCTCTCCCTCCTCTTCCCCAGCATGGCCCTTGGGATTGCCGCGGCCTGCTTGCTGGTGCGAATGGGCAATGGCTGTGTTGGATACAGGAAGGGTGTTTCGACGAGAACTGGAGAGGAGAGGAGCCAGCTGTGTTCTGTGTCTGACGAAGTGGAGGGGGTAGAGGAGAGGATTGAATGCGGAGCGGAAGAAGGAAAGAGTGAAGGAACGGGTGACAGGGCAAGAGCAGCAATGTCAAGGGGAGGATTGTGACAATGGACTGTTACTTGGGGGTTTCCTAGGGAGAGATGAGCCAGGAGGGAGAGCTGTCAAAGAGCAGCGGCTGGTAAATCTGGAAGCGGCAGGGAAAACAGTGTGCTTGCAGCAGTTTCTTTGGGGCACAGACGGACATTTTGAGGAGAAGTTTGGGGTCAAACTGTGAATATTGAGCTGATATCTGAAAGGACCCATGAGTCAACAATCAAGTACCTCATCAGGGCTCAGGATAGAGCAAGAGCAGCAATAGGAGAGGAATAAATCTACTGTGATTCCTCCGTGTGGACCACAAGACAGCTAGTGGAGCACCTATGGCAGGACTAGTAAGATATGGTGGATCAGACGGGCGTACGGTCTGAAAATGAGACGGCGACATAGGCGCCGACCGTACGCCCGTCTGATCCACGGTGTATGTCTAGGTGTATGTTAAAGATGGTGTCACATTGTGTAGGCGTTGATGCAAAGAAAATGAGTTTGAAGTGCCTTTTTGTATTTGAGATCACCTTGTGTAAACTTACGGGAATTATTTTTGCGTGAGTAAATAACACCATTCAAAACACAGCAAGGCTTGAGGTGGCTGTTGGGAAAATGTTCCTCAATATCTGATTGTATAGCCGGGGATCATGGCCACACGCTACACCTCGTTGGCGACAATGCGAATCATGCTTCTAGGCCGGATGAACAAAATTGCATCGCATGTATCTCGCGATGTAGAGATGCGAAGCAACCACAGTTACAGTTCCTGGCGAAAACAGCATCAGCAGCTAGTTTCGTTCAGTCAATCCTATAGCCCCTACAGAAAATTGATTCGCGAAAAGTGCTCACCAAGACAATCCCCAGGGCTGCCCTTGTAGTAGAGTTCGCATCAGGACAGACAGCCGTATTCTGCTTAGCACCCAACTCACCACTCTGTATACGTATTCGAGCGTTCCAAAACGTGAAGCACCTGAGGAATCTCCACCTGACCTTTGTGATCATCTCATTTGCATCATCGGTAGTCCTGAGGAACCCAGCACTTTCAACACTGAACCAGAGCACTACGCAGATCACGGACTGGCCCAGAAGCTAGCTAGAGGCTTTGATTATCCACTGAGATAGTGTTATCTGAAAGTTTCCGGATTGCGATTATCTTATCCGTACAGGCGAATTCGCCTTCACGTTTCGCGTCCCTAGCCAGCTAAGGTCACACGAAGGATCTAGGCATACACGTTTTGGAGGGTTGGACGGATTCGACGAATTCGACGAATGCAACGAGATTAAAGCGACGGTGCACATTTGCCACCCAAAACCCAGAACCCTGGCGAACTGTTACTGCGGATGGAAAGTGTCCGCACGAAATCCTGGTTTTCGCCAGCCAGCACTTTCGCGCTGGCAAGCCTGGTTAAAAAAAAAAACTTCTGAACCCAACACTGCCAAAAGTTGCCCGTCGCTTTAAAGCTGCGGTCTACATACTAAGTGGTGCTTTTTGGGTGTATTTCTTATGCCCACCCTTTCGTGCGTCCTGATTGGAGAACGAAGTCAGCAGTTTCAGAACCACCGCTGCAGACGAACTCAGACAGGAAACGCGAATCTGAGGCTAATTTCGTGCTGACGCGTAGTTTGGGGGAGGGTCTGCGGAAGGGCGGGAAACAACCAGGGGAGTTCGGTTTCAGGCGGAAAGAACCCCAACCCCCTCTCTCCACCCCTCTGAACCGTTAGCTTTGCAGGTAAGGGGACCGAGTTCTAAAACTGGTCACCCTGTTTTCAAGTGATAATCTGAGGACTCCCGCTCTAGGTATGTAGACCGCAGCTTTAACGAATTCATGAACTTCTACGCCGCCTCGCGGAGATCAGCTCGCCGGTCGCTATGGCTGGTCCTTCCTCATACCTCACGGCCATCTGTCGAACGGATTTTCGGATATATTACTAGTGAGAAGTCTCAAACGCACCGAATCGCATCGCGATTTTCTGTTCCTCTCTCGCCATGCATCGATTGGATCAATTCGAATGCAAACGAACCTGCGCGAAACGCGCTATATCAGATCCGAAGCCCAGGCCGAAGCTTCGAGGCGTCCCACAAGTCGTTTTCATCCCACGACCGAGGCTTCTCGGCATGGTCTGCCACTGCTGCGCCTTCCAGGCCAGCAGGCGCAGAAGCTTCCGAGGCGGAGACTGCTGTTTCTGGGATCAACCCTCGAGTAGCGGTGCAAGTGGAGTTTAAAACGCGTACAGTGAAGGACGAGGAGTGGGGGGATGGGAGAGGAGGGCGGAGGAGGAGCAGGAAAGTGGAAGGGGGAGAAAAGGGAGGTGGGAATGAGAGGGTTGAGAGGGTAGTAGCCGGCAATGCCGCGGGGAAGAGTGAGGGAGGCAAGCGGAAGAGCTACTGGAGGAAAGGCTGCAAGGAGGAGGAGGAGGCAGTGGCAGTGATTGCTGGAGTGCTGAGGGAGAAATTCGGGGCTCAGATTGTGAGAGAGGAGTTGGAGGAGTGGGAGAGTGATATAAGAAGCAGTGGGGACAGATTGGTCATGGGAACAGTGAAAGAGGCGGAAGAGGAAGAGGGGGAAACCGAGGAGGGGAAGAGGAGGAGGAGGGGGGTGTAGAAGGATATGGGGAGGAAAAAGAAGAAGCAGAAGCAAGTGAGGAGGACGCAGCTGGCGCCACATCTCCTTCCACACCCCCTCCGTCTCCACTCAAGAGCCGGCGGGTCGTATCTCCCTCCTCCCTCCTCTCCCTCTACCGCTTCTTCTCCTCCCACCTCGGTATCTCCTCCCCTTCCAGTGTCGCGTCCCTTCTTGCCTCCAACCCCCAACTCCTCCGCTCCAATCCCACCAGTGACCTCTTGCCACGTGTCCGTCTCCTACAGTCATACGGCATATGTCATGCGGACATCGTCCACATCACTGAGAGCGATCCAGCCTGGTTCCGAGTCTCCCTTTCACAAATTCAAAACACCCTTGCGTTTCTTTTGGCTCAAGGCGTCCGCCGCAGCAGATTGGGTTTGGTCCTCCGCAAAGAGCCCCGTTCAACGAACCTGGACATTCTGGTGGAGAAGGCAGGGGTTCCTGTGGACAAACTGGGTGTGATTATAGAGAGATGGCCGAACATCTTGACTCGGAGCAAAGAGGCGGTAAATTCTCAGCTTGAGACGTTATTAGCCTATTTTAAGGCCGGATGTGGAGGGATGGTAGAAGCAGATAGCTGCAACACAGGCCACTTGAAGCAGCGAGTAGATGAGCAGCATCTGGACAGGAACCACCTAACTCGGCTTATCATGAAGTTTCCATCCATCCTCGCTTATTCGTCCCACCTCATTTCAGAGAATATCCGCATTCTCCAGTCCTTCACTCCCCCAGGCACCCCCTCCATTGCGAGCTCTGTGCTCCTTCGAGGCCCCACCATCCTTGCCCTTAGCTCAGAAACTCTTACATCTAAGCTCCAGTTTTTTGTGGGGCTGGTGGGGGAGAAAGCAGCAGGAAGAGTGGCGAGGAGTTACGCGCAGGTTCTGAAACTATCAAAGGAGAATCTACAACGTAAGGTGACGGTCTTGGCTGTTTTGATTGGCTACGAGAATGCTGTGCGGGTGGTGGCACACTTTCCTTTGCTAATAGCTTCTAGTGAAGATGTCCTGAAGGAAAGTTTTGGAGAGCTTGTGCGAGAAATGGAAGAGGCATTGGAGAGCAGTGGAGAAGAGGGAAATGGGATGCAAAGGTTGGGGGAAGGTGATAGAGGTAATTGTTTGGAAGGAGATTTTATTTCCCGAGCACTAAGTGTTGAGGGATGCAAGGCTCGTCAATTGGTTGTGAATTTGGTTGTGAGGTACCCGCCATCTATCTATTACTGTTGGAAAACTAACCTGAAGCCCAAGGTGGAGTACTTAAAACGGGACATGGGTCTCTCTATGAGGGAGGTTCTTGCCTTCCCTATCTTTCTTGGGTTGAGTTTGGACCGGCGAATCAGACCGCGGCATGTGGCACTGGTGCGAATGGGCTATGCTGTTGTGGCACGCGAGCCAGGGGATAGAGCTCTTACGAAGCAGCAGCTTGTGGATTTGGGGGTGAGGAAGAAAATGGTGTGCTTGCACCAGTTTCTTCATTGTTCAGACAAGAAATTTGAGGAAAAGTTTGGGGCCATAGTGTAGGGCTTGTGCCGATAGGCTTCTGTAGGTTCTAGTGAATAATATGATACTTCTGTGACATTGGGAAGGCACATGTAGAGGCTCAATAGGACACTCCACTGCTATGTTCTGTTATAAAACAGTAACATATAAAACACAGACATCTGACATAGTATCATACAGCAGCAAGGCTACCAACGCAAGGCTTGCGCGGCAGTGTCCCGTGCCAGAGAGGCCATGCGTGGGTGTGAGGGAGCGAGTGAGGCTGTGCATGCGGCTCCATATTGTCAATCACAACTCCCCGAGCCCCCAGCCACACCACATGACAAGCTACAGGGTGGCAAGACACTAGGTACTAGCGCAGGGCTTGTGGCGGCGGCTGTGCCCCGTGCCCGAGAGGCCACGCGTGGGTGTGGGGAAGCAAGTTCGCCTGTGCGTTTCTCTCCACATTGTCAATCACAACGCCGCGAGCCGCCAGCCATTCACGACACAGCTCGCGGACCTTGGGTGCGTTCCGAGCCTCGTGCATGATGAAAATCACATCGTTGATGCGACTCTGCAGCGGGTATACTGACCCAAACCCTGCTCCGCCGCCGCCGCCAGTGCTGGTGCTGCTAGCACTGGCAGCAGCAGGAGTCGAAGCACTGATCGTTTGAGGCTGGAAGTGCCCCGTGGCGATCTGGAAGGCCAGGCGTAGCCTGCGACATGCCACGTTGAAGAGAACCTTCCTGGAAAGTGGGGAGAAATGGGAGAGGCACGAGCAGGAGAGAAGCAGGGGTTAGCATGCAAGCATGGTTAGCATGCAAGCATGGTTAGCATGCAAGCATGGTTAGCATGCAAGCATGGTTAGCATGCAAGCATGGTTAGCATGCAAGCATGGTTAGCATGCAAGCATGGTTAGCATGCAAGCATGGTTAGCATGCAAGCATGGTTAGCATGCAAGCATGGTTAGCATGCAAGCATGGTTAGCATGCAAGCATGGTTAGCATGCAAGCATGGTTAGCATGCAAGCATGGTTAGCATGCAAGCATGGTTTGTCAGATTGACATCCTCATTGTAACCTACATCAATCCTATAAGCCTAGGTTAGAGATAGCCACCCAAACTTAGTATGGGTGTAGAACTAGGGCTAACCCTAGTTGGGGGTTGGAACTCAAACCTTGGCCCCCAAGGTTGGGTTGGGAATTATTGGTCCCCCCAATAATGTTGAACCACTTGGTCAACATTATTGGTCCCCCCAATATTCCCTCAACCCAACTTATTGGTGGGGGCCAGTAATGTTGGCTTG